AAAGCCACCTATACTTTTGCTGTGCCAGTCCTTTCCTATTCCTTTGGAGTAGTTGATTGGACAAAACAAGACATCCAGAGTCTTGACCGTCTGACCAGAAGGATCATGTCTGATAACAGAGCCCACCACCCTCGTTCCTCTCTTAACCGTTTATACATGCCAATCAATTCTGGAGGTCGGGGTTTGATTAATGTGGAGGCTCTTCATGACAGAATTTTATTGTGTACTTTTGCACATATTTATTTATCGGATGATCCTCTGGTGATGCATGTGAAGACTCATGATGAAAGCAAGGAATTCCACAGCTATTTTAAGCGTGCCAAAGTTGTTGGACAGAATCTGAGATTTCAGGTAGATTTTGTTGATGGCGATGTACTGCTGGACGGTACAGCGATGGGAGTAAAACAGGTGAAGTCCTTCACCAAGTCTGCCCAGAGTCGGTCTTTTGTGGAGAAGCTTTCTGAGAAGCCATTGCATCGTGTGTACATGCAGTGTGTTGAACGGAACAAACCTGCCAACAAACCTGATCTTGTCCTTTTTGATAAAGCCAATGAATGTATTTATATCATTGAATTTTCTGTCCCTTTTGACACCAATGTGATTGGCAAGATTCAGGAAAAGCATGATAAATATGCGGACCTCGCCTTTGAAATGTCTCGCTTGCATCCCAAGTACACTGTCGCCAGGCTCCCCATTGTTCTCGGTGCCCTTGGTTTGGTACCTCCTGATCTCTTGGAAGAGATCAGGAGAGTGCCCGGGTTCTCCACCGGGAGTACAGCCCTTCTGACACTCTGGGTAATGCAGAAGGCTGCAGTGTTGGGGAGCCTTCATATTCTCCGGAAAGTTCTTGGTGGGTTCGACTAGGCAGCGTTTCCTGGGAGAAGTCCCATTCGCTGTCTGGGCTGCGTGTAGAGGGGGCAAGGGCCCTCAGCTGATGATGAGCCTTACCAGCCTGACTGTGCCAGGATCACCCGAACCCTCTCTGCTGCATACTATCTTTAATCTGTAAAACATAATAATAATAATAATAATAATAATTGTGGAAGGAAGGCTTCTCGGTGTAAAATAAGACCATTCTGATCTCGTTGCCATGGTTGCTTTTGCCTGAGTGAGTGATTATGGTTTTACTTCACTTTAAGCAACATTCGAGCTGGGAATGCCTAAAATGGGTTTCACTCCTTGCATTGAGCATTATGGAACATAGTCAATGCCTTCAGACTATTTGTCTCTCAAAGAAACTGCATTCTTTCAAATTGTCAAATTTCTCTTTTAACTGCCGGTCACTCTGTAACCAAACGTAGAGTCAGTCGAACAAACAAATGAAGAAGTAGAGATTCAATTATATAATTTATGTTGTAATAAATAGACTCAGGAATGTAAATTGCATTAACTCACTGACGAAAGTGAGTGAGCGAGCGAGTTAAAAGTTAACGTCAACTCGACAATATTTCAGCCATATAGTGACGAGAAAGGTTTTTCATACACAATAAATATAAGTTGTTATCATCTTCTTATTTGCTGTTACATCATACTTTCAGGCTACCCGTCCCCATTGTACATGGCTTTACGTCAATGGTTTACAGATGAATAAAGTAATATAGAGCCTTAGTGTAGAATGTTTAAATGAAGTACTGTATTGCAACAAAGTTTTGCGAACGTAATGATAAAGGTAATAGTATAACATGATTTTCATGGTCAGTGTGCACTTCAATGCAGTATGTAATTATTGTTACTGTATGTCAGTGATTCATTCAGATTCAACTCCAACATAAACATGTGTTGACATGAACTATTGCAAAATGAAACAAAAACATTATTTAGGTGAACTACTTGAGCTTAAAATCTCACGTGACCTCCAGTAACTAAGATCCTTCACTAGAATGCCATTATACAGTCCTACAAAGTGTATAAGAAACAAACAAAAATAACAAGATAATGTGAAATGTTCTCTCAGAGCCAGAGGCCATACTAATAGGTCCAAATAAAAGATTTGTCAAATCTTAGAAGGGCATTTAGAAGTGGAATGCATAAGAAAATCAAGACGTATAGATGTCAACTCTTTTATTGTGAATAACACGACGTTTCGGAGTGTATGCTTGATCCTTCACAACAGGAAGTTGCCATTCATAGCTCGTGCTTCTCTCAAAAGATTGGTGCATTTGAGGCCACTTAATTCCTCCAAAACGTCACATATTAAACCATTCAAACCCGCAAAACTTGCAGAATCTGAGCCATATCGTGATAATCGTATCGCGCGATACTGTACCGGTATATACCGGTTTACCGGTAGTATTGCACACCCTAATCGTCATTAATTAGAATGTTGTGTACACAATGCTCCTGTATCACCTGAGAATGCAGACTGTCCCTTGGTGTGCACTTATTCCATTAACTTGATCCTTGTAACCAACCATTCAAAACACGGACTTGTCGCAGCAAGTATTCAGACCAATGAGTGCTCGCGTTACATTGACTGTACTTCACGTTGAATATGTACATGTCCAAGGTTTCGAACTCTACCAATTAACTTTATTATATTTAGTTTATTTTTTTTATATGGACTATCAGTGCAGCCTCTGTGACGCGCATATCGCCTAACTGCTATTCACATCCGACTTGGCGTTTGACTGGTTACATACTGTCTGAGCGAATGAATGTCAAGTTGGGGTATCCTAGTGGTTAAAGCGTTCACCCACGCCGATGATCCGGGTCCGATTCCCAAAGTTGGTAGATTGTGTGAAGCCCATTTCTATTTTTCCCTACAGCGATATTGCTGGAAAAGTGCTAAAAGAGACGTAATGCCACACTCACTAACCCCATATTGTGCAAGGAATGTTCACCGAAGAGAACCATATGCTTTGGTTTAATCATATTTATTTCCGTACCTTGTGCACGGACTGGATTGGTGAGCAAGTCTTGCGACTACTATAAATTCCACATGGGCAATGCACAAATCTCAAATGAAAATTAGTACAGTCTAGATACAAATGAATTAGGAGATAAACGTGCTGTGTTTGAGAGTCAGATGAATGTTCAGGGGCGGGGGTGGGGGTGGGGTGTTTGCTGAAATATGGACTTGTGAATACATAATGAGTAGTATCATAAGTTATTACTCGCCCGTTCAAGATATCACTGTTTAGTAAATCTACACAGTATACATTGTGTAATAACATCGCGTGCTGCCGGAACTATTTGCACTCGGTCACATGACGCGATCAAAACAAAATATGGGCTGTAATTCACAACACATCTCGAAGTCGCGATATTTCAGATGCTTTATTTCAAACATGTTTTTTACATAGCTACATATGCGTACATATCTTTCGCTCATTAGATACCAATACCATTCACTCGTTTCATAAATTTGTATCACACGGGATATCGTTTAGTATTCTCTATATATCGAACCGCAGGAATAAGTAGGCTCCTCATTGATTTCGTTTTGTTGGTTGGTTGTCTGACGTTGCACTCAGCAATATTCCAGCTATATGGCGCGGTCTGTAAATAATCGAGTCTGGACCAGCCAATCCAGTGATCAACACCATGAGTATCTATCAACGCAATTGGGATACGATGACATGTGTAAACCAAGTCAGCGAGCCTGACCACCCGATCCCGCTAGTCGTGGTATGCAAAAGACCAATTCTAACTCACTCACGGGTAGGTGCTCGTTGGTACTTGGGGAACGTAGAGAATACCAAATTGAAATATAAAATGACTATGATCTTTGGAATATACTAAGTGAGTGAGTTTAGTTTTACGCCGCAAAATTCCAGCAATATCAAGGCGGGGGACACCAGAAATGGGCTTCACACATTGTACCATGTGTGGAATCGAACTCGAGTCTTCGGCGTGACGAGCGAACGCTTTAATCACTAATTACCCCACCGCCCCGGAAAGACACGATCACTATGGTATATAGTATTCCCAGAAATTATTGAGAAAGTTGTTTTCGCAAATATGTAATACATGTATGCAAACTATAGAAGTCTTACTTAAGTGAATGTGTTGAGATATATGATCCTCTTACAGTATCAGTGTCTTTTCAGTTCTTTGTGAGACCTCCTTGCCCTGCAATACACGACTGAATGCACCTAGGTACACCACCGATCAAAATTAGTAGGAAATCGTGTGACAGCATATCCCAATATTCAACCACTTCTTTCTTCATATCCTCAATATTTATAATATCCTTATTCCTTTTTGGTTTATTCTGCCCTAGTCCCCACACATTCTCAATAGGGTTACGATCTGGGCTGTAGCTGGGCCAGTCTAAAACTTGAACATTTTCGTCCCACAGCTACTGTTCTGTATAGCCCGCAGTGTCTTTAGGGCCGTTATCGTGCTGGAAAATCCAATTCGTCAAACTTCCAGTGAGCCCTACACCAGTTTAAACGTTTTTCATTGTGTGCATCTTTCATCAATGGTGAAGGAATTCCGCGCTTTTTCACCCAGTGAAGTGTTATTCTTGTCTAAGGGTTCCATTACATACCTGAGGACTTCCTCTATTAGTCATCTCATTTCTGATATTCTCAAAGCTTTTCAATGTTCCCCTACTACAATCTGACCATGTCGCCGGCGATCCGTAGTACTGAACATTCTTGGCTCCTTGCCCCTGTCTAGTGCTCAATCCCAACTCCTGACTGAATATTCTTCAAAGTTATGTATACTATACACAGAGGAATGTCATGTCTACTAGCTAACTCTTTTGCATTAGTCACACCCCTTTCAAAATCACCTAGAACCAGGTTTCGTTTTTCTTCTTCTGTCAAATATGCCATGTCAACAAAGGAAGCCGTCTGCTTCACCAGGGGAGATAACTCTTGATGTAGTAAGGTTCCTTTTTTAATCCAACAAGAGTTGCCTCCCATATTGAGTACCTTACTACATAATATTAAAAATTATATTATCAGTGTTTGGAAACAATGATTTTCTCAATAATTTCCGGGAAAACTGTATGGTTGGAATGTGATGTAAACTATATTTTTTCTATTCTGCAGATTTTCACAGTTGTTTCGCTCCTACAGTTACTCAGCCTCGTGACGTCACAGGACGAAAACTGTACGTCAACGTGCTCAACGCTCCTGTTTTCCCCACACACTACAGTGTGTTTTGAAATCCATTGTTTACCATTATTGGACGAAGAAACGGAAATCTTGAACATAGCGGAGTCAACACTTGAAGACATACCTGAAAATGCCTTTCTGTATCTTACAAACCTGACGCAAATCCACATAGCAGATTGTACAATCGGAAAACTGAAATCATATTCCTTCAACGCAACATACAACATCATAGATATTTTCATTCACCATTCTAATATCAGGACTGTTGAATCCTTTGCCTTCGGAAAGAGTACGTTCGCTAAAGGAGGAAAGCTCAACACGTACCAGTTGCTTATAGGAACCATTGAGTCTTTTGCTTTTGATGGGATATCTGATATGGAGACACTGACCTTCTATGCAACGAACATCACAACTATAGAGTCGAAGGCTTTCTACAAGATTTCTTCCTGCGAGTCTTTCCAAATATACCACTCAACAATTACCAATCTCAAGTCCTTAGCTTTGGATGGGTTTACAGAAATGAAAAATGTTCGAATTTTTTCTTGCACCATTATGAACCTGGAACGAAATACCCTGGATGCCTTTCAGTCAGATATGGGTTCTGATTTTATGTTCTTCTACATCAGTGTTGACTGTGTGTGCGACATCACATGGATCTTTTCTGTTAAATCCTCCTTTCCGGATTTCCCTCTGAACGGGATAGGATGCACTATGGACTCAGTGTTTGAGGGAGCTACTCTTGACACGCTGAACGTCACTGACATCTGTCGGTCGAGTGAAACTGACGATACCAAAATTCCCAGTACAGAGAGTTCAGTAACTGTTACCACTCCTAACGAGGACACAAACACAACCACAGAGCTACCAAACCCAGGCACCGCGAGTCTGTTGTCACCATCAATCACATTGATTCAGTGTGTCGTATTTGCCTCTGTGTTGTGGCATGCCATTCAATATTGATGTATTCTCATTAAATTGGTTATTGACTCGAGGGAACATCGTGGCTAATATGTCCATTCAACCGTCAGTCAATAACACACACACATACACACACACTTACAGAGAGAGAGAGAGAGAGAGAGAGAGAGAGAGAGAGATAGAGAGAGAGAGAGAGAGAGAGAGAGAGAGAGAGAGAGAGAGAGAGAGAGAGATTAATACAATTTACTACAAAGACGTAACGGTGGCTGTGCAAAAGAATATAAAATCAAAGACAGTATAATACAAAAGGAATGATGATAGCAATAGAGAGAATGATAGCAATATTAACCAGAATGGTATATTAAAAAGGATGGTCAAGTTTCCAAAATCGGCCATGACTCAGTATCCAGGGTAAAATATCTAAACACAATTCCTAGTCTCCTTGTAACTTGAGACCTAATGTGGGATGACACCCTCGGGTGAAATCCTCTTATATCCCTACGAAAAGGATCCCAGTAGATTCTCCAACTCCCTTGGTCAGAATACAGTGGGGTTGAGTGTTCTGTAGTATCTTCCAGATCTCACACTAAATGTAGCACAGGTCTAAATATAGCACACAACTTCCTATCACTGGCTATCCACACATAATGAATAATAACGTAACTTTGAATAAGAACGTATCTCACTTTCAGATAACAGGTTTCCCGAAACTATAACTGTCTTAACAGGGTGACGACTTGTTGCTAGATAAACAGAACGGTTTGATTATTAGTATTTAACCTCGGTATTAAGGTGAAAATGTGCTTGCCGTCTAAAGGGAAGTGTCATCATGGGCATGCGTTGATCATGTTAGGTGTAGGGGAACGGAAATAACTGGTCAGTTTTATGAGAGATGTTCACACGTGACGATCCAGGTTAGAATTGGTCTTCAGTAACCCATGCTTGCCGTAAAAGACAAGTAACGAGATCGGATGGTCAGGCTCGCTGAATTAACTGACACATGTCATCGTATCCCATGTGTGTAGACCGATGTTCATACTGTTGATCACTGGATTGTCTGGTCCAGAATCGATTATTTAACGACCGCCGCCCCCCATATAGCTGGAATGTTGCTGTGTGTGGTGGTAACAGCAAACAAACAAATATGAGAGGTGTACACTGATAGCTTTAACAATGATGTAATGTATAAACATGGAATTCCGTAGCCACGTATATATAATTTGATCACTTTTAGCTTCAGCGTTTCCAACCTCTGCTTATGAAAAGGTGACTTTAACAATTTAATAGATAGTTTGTCAAACAAAATGTCAGAACTTAAATGAGCCGGTTCTTGGCTTTTTGTAATGATAATGACATAATTAGCTAGTTTTAGCTATTTTTATTATTATTATTATTATTTAGCAATATACGCCCTGTGATGATGCATTGTTGCCTCAATAGCGCGACTCTTTTTTAGTTCAATTAGTGATTAATATTAAGGAGAACAGAATCATTTGTGTTCTACAAAATGAAAACAATCATTAAATATACCCAATTACTTCCGGAACAGTTAAGCCCTTAAGAGTTGCCAATGGTTAGGTCGCATGAACCTAATAAGAGACCCACTGTTGGCGAACTAATTAGCGATCCATTTCTATACACAGAATTTAGAATTTCCAATCGATAATTACAAGATTACGAGATCATTACAAAGGGAACAGGAAGAAGTGGGACAAGACGATAATGACACATCACTTAAAGCATTTCCTTGCATGCAGTATGACTCGCCTGGTTCCGGTGACCTTGACCATTGGTCTCTGGTTGATAGATACGATTTCTGGAGCTGGGCTAAAATTGAAAGATGTGACCAATGCTAACAGGATCCTCGTAGGATACAATCTGTGGACAGGACGAATGTCTAACGTTGAGGCTTGCTGGACGCTATGTTCTTACCTCCCTGGCTGCGCTTCCCTTAACTGGATAGGTGAGAAGCAAGCCTGCCAACTGAAGACTCACCGTGAAGAAGATTCCACCAGACTGAGCTTCTTCATGGGAGGGGTGTACATCAGAGGAACTGGTGATTCTAGGGTAAGATGAGATGCGACGGAATGGTATGGTGAGTGAGTGAATTACTACTCACACTTTGATAAGGATCACACAAATTCACAACTTGACTTTAACGTAGATTTGTAATATGAAATTGTATCCATATAAAACTGGATAAATAATAATATGGTGACCCCTCTTCAGGTAGACAGTCACTTTATTCTAACATTATGCACTTGATACATGAGTAACCATAAAAATGGTTTTCATGACACCAGTCAACCATTTTGCAAATCATGGAACCAGACATTGCCAACTAAACAACACCTGTCAATAGCAGGTACGGGATCCACAAGAAGACGCAATGACATACTGAAACCTAGGAACCATGCTTACAATAAACTTAGGTAATTAAATCAAATTTGACCCCACATAATAGTTTTCTGTTGAATCCATGATGATCCTTAGCAAAGTGAGAATAGTATATTTAACGTCACATCGGCAATCTTTCAGCCATATCGTGACGAGAACAATTTATATATTAGTAATAAAATCAATAAATTTAGCATATACAAAATTTTAGAATATTAAAAAAACTGTCTTCGAGGGACAGTGAACGACTAGAGTACCACTGCTCTTAAGTTATAACTAGTGCGCTATGATAAAAAGAGATCACTATAGACAACAGTACAACATAAAAACGGGCTATAGATCACCAACAACTGAGGAATGGTATGGGATGGGACTGGATAAGAATGGTATGGGATGGGTGTTGGACTGGGATGGTATGGGATGGGATTGGATAAGAATGGTATGGGATGGGTGTTGGACTGGGATGGTATGGGGTGGGATTGGATAAGAATGGTATGGGATGGATGTTAGACTGGGATGGTATGGGATGGGATTGGATAAGAATGGTATGGGATGGGTGTTGGACTGGGATGGTATGGGATGGGATTGGATAAGAATGGTATGGGATGGGTGTTGGACTGGGATGGTATGGGGTGGGATTGGATAAGAATGGTATGGGATGGATGTTAGACTGGGATGGTATGGGATGGGATTGGATAAGAATGGTATGGGATGGGTGTTGGACTGGGATGGTATGGGATGGGATTGGATAAGAATGGTATGGGATGGGTGTTGGACTGGGATGGGATGGTATGAGGTGGGATGATGTGAGTGAGTGTGAGTGAGTTGATTTTTACTCCGCACTCAGCAATATTCCAGCCATATGCCGGCGGGATGATGTGAGGTGAGACGAAACAAGACGGAGTGGGATCTCATTTGGTGAGCTGGGATTAGATGATATGGGAAATACAACACTGGATAAGATGTCTATTCTATGTATATTATACTGTGTATTCGCGCTCGATACAGTGAGTTAAACTGTACCTCTCAATAGATTGTATCACATTTCATTGTCAATTTAACTATCTTAAATTATATCCCCGAGGGGTATTTCTATATATTTCATATTTTTCAATGTAATCGTATTTACAACTTTTACAGATTATTTTTTTTAATTGAAGTTTGATCTTTTAAACGAAGAAGAAAACTATTTTATCAATGTGTCACACATATTACAATGTCTGGTCTATATGGCATGTGAGACATACATATAAATTGAAATATATGTAAATAAAATATTGAATGAAAAGATAATACATTTATCAACATGATACATCATTATCCTAGTAAGAGTTACTACAATGCACACGAACAGACGACAGTGGCAATGAACATCCGACTTCATAAATATCAGTAGGCCTAGACTATATTATATATATAGATTATATTGATATTGGATATGATATTGGTTCATTATTCCACCAATAAATGTGTGAACTGATACTTTTTTTCCTGTTTCTTCTTTTCCTAGCAAAAATTGATTTTTTTATCCGATTCTTTTTTTCCTGATGCTTTTTTTCCGATTACCGACTATCTCATGTCATCATGTGATGCATTATGTAACTTATGACTAATGATGTCAACTGTAGTCATTTCGTATGATTTCTATGTCAACATTTCAATACATCATTATGGCATAAGACCATTACATTTGGTGCATGTGTGACAATGAAAGGACATACACTAAAACAACATTATTTTTCCATACATTTCTTGTTAGAAAATGAAAAGGGGACTTTTTTTCCGGAGGACTTATTACCTAGGCAAATTTAGGACTTTTTTACCGGTACTATTGTACCGAGGACTTTTCTGCCGAACACCGTTTTGATCAGATGTTTTTAAGCTAAACTGTGAGTTCTGTATCGCTTCTGTTTAATGAATCATGTATTTTTAGACAGCTGCCTATATGTTCATCAGACACATGAACATTTTAGTATTCAAATTAAACTACAGGTGTTGATGTTAATACTACATTCTCAACACCTCATTATAGTCAATATGTACATCTTCAAAGTAACATAGAACACATTAGAAACGTAACTGTGTTTATATTTTCGTTGAAGGACCCCCAGTCCATTATACGGTTTATATGAAGATATTGGACACATTACAAACACGTGTATTTGATTTCCAGTTCCAGGTATCTGCATGTTCTTCACAGCCCTGTGCGGCATCAGAGACATGTGTTCCGGTAGCCAGAGCGGGTACCTATCTGTGTGTGGACACTGCGATAGAAAGTGACTCACGGCTCGACCTTGAAATATGGAAAATGGCAATAGAAACGAATGGAAATGTAAGCCACAACGATCCTTTGTCAATTGTAGACAGTGGAGAAGTGGGCAGTAGTGTCACGACACCAGCGGACAGCGGAGAAGTGGGCAGTAGTGTCACGACACCAGCAGGTAGTGGAGAAGAGGGCAGTAGTGTAACGACACCAGCAGGCAGTGGAGAAGAGGGCAGTAGTGTAACGACACCAGCAGGCAGTGGAGAAGAGGGCAGTAGTGTCACGACACCAGCAGGCAGTGGAGAAGTGGGCAGTAGTGTCACGACACCAGCAGGCAGTGGAGAAGGGCAGTAGTGTAACGACACCAGCAGGCAGTGGAGAAGAGGGCAGTAGTGTCACGACACCAGCAGGCAGTGGAGAAGTGGGCAGTAGTGTCACGACACCAGCAGGCAGTGGAGAAGTGGGCAGTAGTGTCACGACACCAGCAGGCAGTGGAGAAAAGGGCAGTAGTGTAACGACACCAGCAGGGAGTGGAGAAGAAGGCAGTAGTGTCACGACACCAGCAGGCAGTGGAGAAGAGGGCAGTAGTGTCACGACACCAGCGGACAGTACACTAGCTGGAACACGTGTATCGCCGTCGACAGGAGGTGAAAGATCCTTGACATCAGCAGGCAGTGATCAAAGCGGCAAAAGTGTCTCAACAACAGCAGGAAGTTATGAAGGAGTTGTAAGTGTCTCAATATCACCAGGAAGTGTTGACGGAGGTGAAAATGTCTCAACATCAGCAGGAAGTGATGAAGGGGATGAAAGTATCACAACATCAGCAGGAAGTGATGAAGGAGACGAAAGTGTCTCAACATCAGCAGGAAGTGATGAAGGAGGTGAAAATGTCTCAACATCAGCAGGAAGTGATGAAGGAGACGAGGGTGTCTCAACACCAGCAGGAAGTTATGAAGGAGGTGAAAGTGTCTCAACATCAGCAGGAAGTGATGAAGGAGGTGAAAGTGTCTCAACATCAGCAGGAAGTGATGAAGGAGGTGAAAGTGTCTCAACATCAGCAGGAAGTGATGAAGGAGGTGATGAAGGGAGACGAAGGAGGTGAAAGTGTCTCAACATCAGCAGGAAGTGATGAAGGAGGTGAAAGTGTCCCAACATCAGCAGGAAGTTATGAAGGGGGTGAAAGTGTCTCAACATTAGCAGGAAGTGATGAAGGAGGTGAAAGTGTCTCAACATCAGCAGGAAGTGATGAAGGAGGTGAAAGTGTCTCAACATCAGCAGGAAGTGATGAAGGAGGTGAAAGTGTCTCAACATCAGCAGGAAGTGATGAAGGGGGAAAGTGAAAGTGTCTCAACATCAGCAGGAAGTGATGAAGGAGGTGAAAGTGTCTCAACATCAGCAGGAAGTGATGAAGGAGGTGAAAGTGTCCCAACATCAGCAGGAAGTGATGAAGGAGGTGAAAGTGTCTCAACATCAGCAGGAAGTGATGAAGGAGGTGAAAGTGTCTCAACATCAGCAGGAAGTGATGAAGGAGGTGAAAGTGTCTCAACATCAGCAGGAAGTGATGAGGGCGGTGAAAGCAGTGATGACGATTAGGCAAAAGGTATGCTCATTGAAGGAACGCTTTTTTTGCAAGCACTTGTATATACATCATTACGATTCATCTTGTGACAGAAAGAAACGTTACTGAGTAACAAATTGGTAAATTGCGAGCTGTATTGGTAAAATAGCTACGATTTGCCTTCTGTTCAACTTTCTTCGGTTAAGAAGTCCTTGGTAAAAACGTTCCGGCTAAAAAGGCTGTTGTAAAAAGTCCTTTTGTGGTAAAAACAGATTTAGTTATGTATTTGACAAAATTGACATCAAAGATCTTTCGAAAAAAACTTGAAGAAATCGCATATAATGACGCCAAGGCAGGTAGTAGAATACTCTACACTTACATAGGAATACTCTAAAGTATGCTGTTCATGTGGACGTTGTTTTCGTGAACTGATGACGTTGGAAATGAATCAATAAGGGAGATCACTCTAAATCAAGGTCACTACCAGTAGTCAACATTATATGAGTGCCTCAATCACTTTGCTGACACAATAGTCATCTGATTTCCAATTCAAATACACACCGCCAAATGTTCCCTAAGAGACGACAGTCTGAGAGTTTTCGTTCAATTTAGAAAAAAATATATTTCAAGAAAAGCAAATGAGTTTTCATCTTCCATCAAACATATTAAATAGAAAAGACGTATGTGTATAGTTGTCCAATCAATCGACTTTCAAAAGTGCACCTGCCATCACATTGCCTAATACATGTAAGTGTTTGATCTCCATCCTTTTTTTTTTTGCAAATGTGCACAAAGCTAAACTCAACTGTCATTGGTTTTTGGTCTTCGTTTTGTTGTAAGTGAGTGAGTGGGTATGGTGTTACGCCCGTCTTATCATTATGCAAGGAATATCACGTCGTGGAAGAACATAAATGTGCAATCGAACACAGACATTTGTCGTGACGAGCGAGCGTCAGCTGCCCCACCGCCGCAATCTGTTATAATCCCATCTCATATGTGACCTGCTGAAACAGCTTTGACATTAAATTCGAACCATCATCAGACTCAGCTACTTTTATAAAGCCAACCATGATTTTAAAAAATAATTGAAATATCTTGGTAAAAAGGTGGCGATCTCATGTCAATGGCTTCTGGGAATCTCCGTGAAGCAGAGTTAACTGAAAAGAAAGAGAAAATATTCTGATGCTTTGTCCCGCCATGTTGTATTAATGCAGTCAGCAGGTGTAGAAAGTAGCACACAAGAAAGAGTGAGTGAGTTAAACATTTTAGTCACATCGGCAGTATTTCAATCAGATTGTAGTCAGATTTAGCTGTAACCTAAAATTACAAAAATGCTACGTTTTAAAAATCTGGCAAGTTAAAATTTACTGAATGTTTTCGGGACTTACTTATCCTCTCCGGGGGACAATAATTTTACTTTATTTCAACCCCCTTTGAGGATACAGCCACTAACAATCTCAGTTGCTTTTTTAAACTATACTGATTCCAAATATACATCTATCTACAAAACATATCAATTTCTTTTAAAAATTCAATAATTAAATGGTAGTTAACATTATTTAAAAGATCTTTAACCGTTTTCACAGTAAAATATTTATCCCTATGTCCCGAGTGAAATTTATGATCACTGTCATGCGCTTTAGCGAGGGTCTTGAACACGAGGGACATATTCGAAAACCTTCGAAGTCGGTCAATGTATCATTACGCCGTCGAACGAATCCGTCATAGTGTAAAGGTACAATGACAGTTGTTAAAATGATATTGTTATTGTTATTGATATTTGTTTCTATTTGATAATTTTATTGATGTTATACTTATTAAAGCAGTTTCAAACCTAAAGGTGAATTTGTTGTTATATTTTAAGGAATACTTTGAGTACTATTTCTTCAAGGTTTGGGATACATGTGTAAAAAAATCGCCAAGTATATAAAACATCGCTGCAATACGGTCTTGAACAGAATGGCATTACAACATTTTACAGGTATTAAAACACATCACTGTAAACAATGATCATGTAGAAGTGGGTAAAAAACGTATGTGTAAACTTCAATGTACGAAATTATAAGAATTGAATGTCAGTTTGTGTGTTTGCACTAAAAAATGAACGTTGTCAAAGCGTCGTTCAATGGTTTGAACAACGCTTTGAGAACGTTCATTTTTCTTACATGAACGTTTGTCAACATTTTGCTGAAACGGACTGACCTAGTTTTTGCTTGCGTCAGTGTCTTTGTCATAAACGATAAGTCTGGAATTAGTCCGAGTCTGAGTCGACAACAGTTTTTTGTTTGCATCCAAAAAGACCGCCTCCGTGGTGTAGTGGTTAGAGCGTCCGCCCGGAGAGCGAAAGGTCGCGGGTTCTATCCCCGACCGCGTCATACCAAAAGACGTTAAAATATGGTACTTGTTGGTCCCAGCCTGGCGCTCGGCATTAATGGGTATAACAAGGACTGGTCGGCTCGGTAATGGGGTATTTATGTTGTGGCATGGTATCTCAGTGGGCTAGCACTATAAAACCAGCTTAAGTCTGGGCTAGTACAAGCAGCCGCACATACACATACACACGCAAGCACGTCGTCATATGAGCGAAATATTCTCAAGCACGACGTTAAACCCAATTTCACCTCACCTCACCTCGCAGCCAAAAAGTTGTCAATGTCATATAGTCAAAATACAAACCTGTCAAAAGTTGTTTTCGATTGTGGGTAAAAAAAAATCATCCTTCGGTAAGTCATTTATGACACTCTCCGGTAAGTGGGGACTGGCGAGACGCCGACTCGCTCAAGATCGTTCCCGGCAACACTTTCAGTCTATACCTTGCAACTTCCATTTCACCATGTTCAGTGTCTATCACACACACGTGAAAGGAATGTAGTGGTTGTATTGATCTCGTTACATGTCCAGTAGCGTCCACCTTAACCAGGTCGTCGTCGTTGATTGCAGTTCACTGGGTAGCCATGTTAGTTTACAAAATACAATTTTATCAAGTTTAGACAGTTTCTTATTACAAAACATGTTAAGTAAACGACACCATACTGTTAATGAAGTATGAAAAAGCATCAAATTAGCATAAAAATCGAAATCCTGTATATTTTTGTTCTATTTTAAAATCTCGGATCAGTGCGATTACCGCACGGTCAATTCGTCAATGAATCGTTGAAATATTAGTGGTGTAAAAGTAGTTCCAGCATCCAATTAAAATGTACAAATATACGATCGACCAATCAGCGTCGAGAATCACTAAATTGCGCATTGTGCAAATATCAAAAAAGATATTACATGGGTAATAATCAGCAACAGTGTACCTTACAGATATCTCACTGTAGAGGACGTTAAAACATTCGCTCGTCACGCCGAAGACCTCGGTTCAATTCCCCACATGGGTACAATGTGTGAAGCCCACGTCTAGTGTCCCCCGCCGTGATATTGCTGGAATATTGCTTCAAGTGGCGTAAAACCACACTCAGTCAGTGTAGGAATAGAATTGGTCTTCAGAAACCCATGTTTCTCGTAAGAGGTGACTAACGGGATCGGGTGGTCAGGCTCGTTGACTTGGTTGACACATGTCATCGTATCCCAATCACGTAGATCGATGCTCATGCTATTGTTCACTGGATTGTCTGGTCCATACTCGATTATTTACAGACCGCTGAACCAACAAACAATAGTGCAGATACTTCACAGATATCTAACTTTACTGGTACAGGGGTCAGAGGATGTCACGAAATACAATTATTAAAATCAGTTTTTGCAACAGTTAATTCGGTCCGAAGTAAATACCTTACGTTTTAAGATTTGTCCCTTTTTTGCAGCTGAACAACTGAAAAACCTTTGCATGCGTGTATGGTGGGTACAAGGTTCGAACGCCTGGAGCCATCACTAGTTCATGTGACTTATATCCCAATACACTCTGCTTGAAGCACAGATTTACGGACGTGGACGGGGCTTTGTCGCTTTTAGTCAGAATATAATATCAGAGTTTATTCCTGAATTCCATTCCTGAATGAGGTATTGTTTAAATCTCATCAGGTCAGCCTACTTACTCACTCACTCACATAAAACAGCAATATGAAGCAAACACCAGATGTTGTTATTTTCCACAAGAAGACCTTGTCATCAATATCCCCGCCACAGTATTCTCTTCCTAGTTGGTTTCACCACGACATTCATGTCTTAAAAACACATACCAAACTTGGTGTCCCTATCTGTAACGGTTTCTGAGAAAATCTGTCCCCATCGGGGATAACGCAAGTCAAGAAACGCACGACAAGGGCCATAACTCTTGAAAGAATCGTAATACGGTTTCTGTTTTCGAACTCCATCGTGGTACTCATGTCGTAAAAACACATACCAAATTTGGTGTCCCTGTCTATAACGGTTTCTGAGAAAATCTGTCCCCATTGGAGGTGCCGTGCATTAAGGGCCATAACTCTGTAACAAAGTGAACACGGTTTCCATTTCGAAATCCATCATGGTATGCATGTCCTAAACACACATACCAAATTTGGTTTCCCTATCTAAAACGGTTTATTAAAAAATCAGTGCCCATTTACGATACCGTGCAACAAGTCCAGAAACGCATATGACAACTCTGTAACAAATTATAACACGATTTCCGTTTTCGACCCCCATCAAGGCATTTATGTCTTAAAAAACACATACCAAATTTGGTTTCCTTATCTATAGTCTGGATAATAACAGGTACCGTCATCGATTTTATCATACCACAAAAACACTGACGTTAAAACGTTAAACAGACAAACGATAAATAGATGATGTTGAAAT